GGCTGTCAGGAAGACTGCCACTAGAGGCTGGATTAACCCTGCAATGTAAACTCTGAAACTGCTATGTTTACATCTGAAGGGTTAAAACCTGGGGGACCTGGCACCCAGACCACTTAATTGAGCTGAAGTGGGTGACTATAGTGGTCCTTTAATAAAGCAGTTTTAGTGTATAGATCATGCCTCTGAAGTTTCACTGCTCAATTCACCGCCATTTAGGAGTTAAATCACTTTTGATTCTGTCTATGCAGCGCTAACCACGCCTTCCCTGGCTTTGACTGACACTGCCTGCATGAAAACAAAATGGTTCTGTTTTCAATCACCTGTTAACTTACTTTAACCCCTTAAGGACCAAAATTATGGAATAAAAGGGAATCATGACATGTCACACGTCATGTGTCCTTAAGGAGTTAAAAGTTTGTATCTCCTGCTCAGGGCTGGTGCATTCCTATAGGTGACTTAGGCAGTCGCCTTGGGCACAAGATTCAAGTGACCCGGCAGGAGGGAAGCGCACAGCGCTCCCTCCTGCCAGTTACTCGGTGTAGCGTGTCAGGGCGTTGCGGACCGCGGTACAGAAGAGTTTCATTCCTGTACCTGGCCGAACTGAAAGGAAGTGCTCTCTCAGTGAGCACTTCCTGTCAGGCCGGGTACAGGAAACAGAGGCTTCTGTAGCCCAGTCTGCGCCACCTGGCCACGCTACAAAGCGGTAGGAGGCACAACAGGGGAGACAGCACTAAGAGACAAGGGGGGGGGGGAGAGGAGACCACTAAGGAACAGATGGGTGGGAGGAGACCACTAAAAGGACAGATGGGGGACCACTAATGAAATGATGGGGGAGGAGGACCACTAAAGGACAGATGGGGGACCACAATGAAATGATGGGGGTAGGGGAGAGACCACTAAGGGACAGATGGGGAGAGACCACACGGATGGGGAGGGAGGAGACCACTAAGGGACGGATGGGGGGAGGGAGACCACTGATGGGGGAGGGAGAGACCACTAAGGGGCCGGGAGAGGGGAAAGACCACTAGGGGACGGATGGGGGAGGGAAAGACCACAAGGGACGGATGGGGGAGGGAGACCACTAAGGGACGGATGGGGGGAGAGGAGAGACCACTAAGGGACGGATGGGGGAGGACCACTAAGGGAAGGATGGGGGGTGGCGAGGAAAGACCTCTAAAGGGAAGATGGGGGTGGGGGAGGAGAGACCACTAAGGGACAGATAGGGGAAAGAAGGGGGTGGAGAACTCTAAGGGACTGGGGGGCAGCAGAGAGCACTAAGGGTCAGGGGGAGCATTAATGGTCATGGGGCAGGGAAGAGAATTAAGGGATAGGGGCAGGGATAGATCACTAAGGTTCATGGGAGAGCACAAAGGGAGAGGAGGGAAGGGGACAACACTAAGGTATAGGAGGGGAGAAAACTAAGACAGGAGGGGAGAGTTATAAGGTACAGGGGGAGAAGAGGAGATGAGACCATTAAGGGATGGGGAAAGTGATAATTAATGGGGAGTGTAAGACACACAGAGAGGCTGAGGAAGGGGTGAAAGAGAAGCACAGAAGGGCTGATAGGGGAGACAGGATCCACAGGGGAGAGATATACAATCTCTTGTAAGGGAGACACAGAGACACACAGACGGGTCGGGGGGGGGAAAAGAGACACACCAAGAAGTAGGGAAGAGTAACACACGTAAAGGGGTTGGGAGGATGTAGGAGACATACAAAGAGGAGGGGGGATAAGAGACACACAAGGGGCTTGCAAGAGATACACTAAAGGGGGATGCAAGACACAAAACTTAAAGAAATATACAAAAAAAAGTATATTAACAAAATAAATATAATAAAAAGAAAGAGCTGCTCCCCTCTTAGACCCTATCCTTCCCCACAAACACTCTTTCACACTACACACATACACAATGCATCCCTACACATACACAGAAACACACAATGCATCCCTACTCACACACGTGCACAAAAACACACAATGCATCCTACACTCCCACAGAAACACACAATGCATCCATTACACACACAATGCAGTCCTTGCACACATTCACAGAGGCACACAATGCATCCCTTATACATACACACACACACTGCTTCTCTTAATGCATCTCTTACACACACTCAATGCACCCCTTACAGAGACACACATTGCATTACATTACATACACAGAAACACATCTTGCATCCCTTACACATACAAACACAGATTCACACAATGCATTCCTTACACACAAACACACACACACACACTACATCCCTTACACAAACTGGCATCCCTATACACAACATTCCAAAAGAACACATACACATTGCATTCTCTACAATAATATATAACAAATCCCCTACACACATACACTCCACTCCCTGTGAGCGAACTCATAGGTAGGCCTTGTAGGCATACTCACTGTCAGGCCCTGGGAGTGGAGCTGCTTCCTGTTCATTGATTTTTTGGAAGCACTACCACCAGAGAACCTGTTTCAACACCAGGCCAGTAGAGCGAGACTGCAGCCTGAGCCCATCATCATCCTCTTGTCCTCATCTGGTGGTAAGTAGGCAATCCAGTATATTATTAGTGGCACTAATATCTAATTTACCTCACATTAAAGGGACACTATAGTCACAAGAACCACTACAGCTTAATGTAGTGGTTTTGGTGTCTATAGCCTGTTCCTGCAGGCTTTTTAATGTAAACACACTGCCTTTTCAGAGAAAATACACTCTGTGCAGCACTGGCATTGGCTCATATGGCAGATCATATGGGTGGGGCATTGGGATGTCACATGGTGGGCAAAAATCCTTGCACAGGCCCTGCTCCTACTCTGTAAATTGAACTTTAATTAAATACAGAAGGCTCCTGCAGGGTATAACAAACTATTAACAGAGTAGGAGATATGAAATTCTAAATTAAACAGAATTTGCAATAAAAGACATGTAAACATAAGATGATTCATTACAGGAAGTGCTTAGAAAAGCTGTGTAAGTCACGTGCAGGGAGGTATGACTAGGGCTGCATAAACAAAGTGATTTAACTCCTAAATAGCAGAATTGAGCAGTGAGACTCCATGAACATGATCTGCACACAAAAACTGCTTCATTAAGCTAAAGCTGTATTGGTGACTTTAGTTTCCCTTTAAGTACAAATCCCTTGCTTATATATGCTCCTTACACATATGTATGTGATGTGTGTAATTTTATGACAAGACAGGAAGCTTCATATTTGCTTATCTTTCTTTACTGAAACTCCCTCCCAGCAGCAAAGAAATAGTTAACAGTCAGTGTAAAAAAAGTTTAACCAATCAGGCTCCTCCCAACTCCTCTTTCTTTGCTGCTTAGCCTCCAAGGAGAGTCTATTCCAATTACTCTTTATTGTTGTTCTTTTGTCATAATCTATATCCTATAATACAGAGTTTCTTGATATTTGTCATTATCTGGTCCACTTTTACCTAAAAAACTTAATGCTATTTGGTCTTATTTATTTATCTCTGTTTCATAAAACCGTGTAGATGGGCACTACCAGCTTTTTCTCTCACTTTTTCTCGTGGCTCCCAGCATCTTGCCGGACCGTTCACCCGCTCTGTTTTCCTGCGCACTGTTCATACTACCTTATCACGTCTCCATAGAGACGCTTCCCGCCTTCTCTGTTCCTGGCCTTTTTCGTAACTCCTTTTCCGTGCTTTCGAACCCTGTCATCTTGTTCTGCTTACCTGGCGTATAATGTCCACGGATCGTTTCGGCTCTTGACCGCATTCGTGACCCAGCTACTAGGTTTTTTTACGTCCAACGACGTAATAAAGGTTTTCTTTCTTTTTTTTTTTTTTTTAGCTCTTTTGCCTAACTTTTGAACTGCTTATTCTGTATGGGTAAAACCTGCGGCTGTGTGTTGAAATTTGGGAGCTGAGATTTCCTTTGGGCCCTTCTTCAGTTCACACAGATATGCAGGAATTTTCTCTTGTTTACAATAGTATATGGGGTTATGCCCCTTTCTTTTACCCATCTAGTCCATTTTTTGACTATCGGATCAATAGCTTTTTGACCCCTTAGTCATTTTTTCCTTTAACCCCCACAGGTGATACCTGTCATTGATTCTGGACATTCTGCTGTCCTTCTACATTGGATGAACCCCACTTCTTAATGTTAGCATAATCCATTTATTCATTATTCTTTGAAGCTATATCCTGTATAAAAGAAAGTAGAAAAAGGTTAGCGCTAATAATAAAATAAATTAAAAGGCAGCGGCCTAACAGAGGGTCACCCTCTAACCCTCTACAGTGAGAATATACAAGTAAAAGCAATGAAAGGCTGCGCCAAAAATAGTAAATAAGTAATTACACAAATAAAATTATATGTGATTAAAAAAATTTAATAAAAATAAAAAGTCCCAATTATTAATCTTTAGTTGTTGTCTCGACTGGTGTAGTGTCTTCTCTGTTGGAAGTAGTTTGTCTCACGATATGAAAAACACAATGGGAAAGGACCAATCGTGCAGAGTGTATAAATATATATCCGTGAAGTTAAAATATAAATTCCACACTCACGTTTCCATGAGCTAAGACCAGCTCTAGTGTTCCCAGAAAGGCCTGCACTCTACTTGTGAGTATATTTTATTTTAATTTATTTTTAACTACATCACCAGAGAGCACTATTGGCTGTTTTTATCTCTTTTCCTTTGAGAATTGGATACCAGCACTCTCCAGGAGGACAAGCACCCCCACAAGCGGAGGGTTATCCGCTGTATGCCCGTAACACTAGAGCTGGTCTTAGCTCATGGAAATGTGAGTGTGGAATTTATATTTTAACTTCACGGATATTTATTTATACACTCTGCACGATTGGTCCTTTCCCATTGTGTTTCTCATATCGTGAGACAAACTACTTCCAACAGAGAAGACACTACACCAGTCGAGACAACTAAAGATTAATAATTGGGAGGCGGAGCCTAACCCTGCACGAAGATGGCAGCATAACCCCTTAGCTCCGCAAAAGCCTAGCCTGAATCCGAAGCCATCCACAGCACCTGAGCCCCCCACACACCCTACACCCATCCCTTCTTACCCCTGCTACAGCCGGCACTAATCCTCTCCATGGGCGGCGGGAAAAAAGCCCGTAACTCGGCAGTGGCGCCGATCTTTAGGCAGAAGCCCGAGCAGACCCGGGCGCCATCTTCGGAGGCCCCCCTTACGGACTCAGACTCTGAAATGAGCAGCCACGCTCACTCGGAACGTACTGAAGCCCCCCTCACCAGGAACGATATGCGGGGCTTCCTGGCCGACTTTAAACAGTCCGTGGCTGAAGAACTTGAAAAAAGGCTATGCCCCATACTGGCAACCATGTCGGAACTCTCAGCTCGAACACAGGCCACAGAAGACAAAATGGCGGCCACTGAAGAAACGGTATCAACACAGGGGACCGAGATACAAACTCTCCGAGACCAATTGCGCTCACTTGAAGACGCAAATGAAGACCTGAACAACAGAACACGGCGGAACAACATTAGAGTGAGGGGCATTCCGGAATCCGTCTCCACAGACCTACTCACCGACACTCTCACAGAGGTCTTCCAAACCCTGCTCCCAGAAGCTACAGCTGCCGACCTCCTTATGGACCGGGCTCACAGAGCATTGCGAGCTCCCAGTGCCAACATGGCCACCCCCAGGGATATCATCGTCAAACTACACTTTTACCACATTAAAGAACGCATTATGAAAGCAGCCCGAGATAGCCCCGTGGTGGTGGAGGGGGTTCCGGTCCAGCTGTTCCAAGATCTGGCGCCGACCACCCTGAAACGCAGGAGAGACCTGCGTCCACTCACACAGCACCTTACCCGACATGGCCTCCGGTATGCCTGGGGTCACCCCTTCAGGATCATCATCCGCAAAGATGGCAGGTTCCACTCCATCACGAAACCGGAGGAAATCCCCACGCTCCTGGACCAGCTGGACCTACCGCAACTACCCGACACAGCGCACCCCAGGGCCGACCAGGCTCACCAACGATCGCTGGCCAGCAACCTGCCCACCAGACCCGGTGAACGCATGCACCGGAATGCGGCTCTCAACCAGCCGGAAAACTCACCGCACTGAGAGGAAGCACGAACGGAGCAGCGGTCTGCGGCCCCCTACGCCCATGCCCTCAGACGAAACCCCTGTTGGGACCCCCTAGGGGACTAGAACTTTATTTTTTAATCTTCAAACAAAATTTTTTTTTTTTTTTCCTGGCCCCGGGCCTTGGCCCCCTGGGACGGAGCCCACACGCCCCCATGGAACGAGACTGGTCATGGGACCCAACCTCCACACCCCAGACACCCCAGTGGGCCGGAGAGCCGAGTCCCCACAGAGTCTGAGGGCTCAAGCGCAGGCCCCCCCCACAGAGTCTGAGGGCTCAAGCGGCAGGCTCCCCCCGCGCCCCGGGTGCCCGACCTCCCCTCCTCTTACACCAAGGCCTGCCCACGACCTTCTAGCCCTCACCGGAGACCACATCAACGAGCACCCACGATATGGACCGTGAGCACGGAGACTCCCGGATCAAAGTCAGCCACACACCCTCCGCCAGCGCGAACTATAGAGGGACGATCCTGAGAGAACTGGGACTATATCCTGGCCGGGGCCGGCATCTGGTACGGGGCCTTAGGGGGGCGCAGACTCCCCCACCTGGAGTGTGGGTCTCTGTCCACTGGAGCTGCTGCCCGGGCGGGCCGGGGTGGGGAAGAGCGTGGTTGTTAGGCCGAGGCCGGGAGGGTAACAAGACAAGGGGTCTGGGACCCTCTACAGCACAGACAAGCTGACTGCCCGGACTGCCCCCGCTGGCCCCTTCCCCAACTTGGGCGGCCACGGACAGCCCCAATGTCGGTCACCAGCGGCGGCCTCAGAGTGCCGCGCCCGGCGCCCCCCCCCCCTCCGGCCCAACGGGGGGGTGCCACAACACCAAGGGAAGTGGGGACATCCCCGGGATGACTGGTGGCCCTTGTCCCCGGGGGTGGCCCCGCTTGGTTGAATGTACCCACGGCCCCTCCAGGACGGAAACCAATGAGAACGCCCTTCTACGGAGCACCCCGACAGTGTAGGACCCATACCCCCCAGGCCCCATCCACATTGGACACCCAGATTGAGCCTGCCCCCCCCACCCCGGGAGACCGGAGTTGACTAACACAGGACTCACCCCGTGTGCACCTCCATGACTTAACTCAGAACCGCAGGACAACTACGCACGACTGGCCCCCACTGTGCGCCCCGCGCGCCCCTGTCCCCTCCCCTCCTATTGACAGACGAGACATGGAAGGACTGGACTTCAATCCTCCCCAGACGCAAAAAGGACACCGACGGCGACACGGGGTGGGGGGTCTGCAAACAACGGCTCACGACTGGGGAGGCATGAGACGCTTGTCAAGACCGCTGCTTCCTCTCCTCCGACAAAGTTGACATGTTTGGTATGATTTTATATTGCATGCAAGCAAGGTTACGCTATAATGTTAAAATGTTTTATTAGGAAAGTGGGTGGATGCGGGCGGGATGCACTTCACTAGGGCTGTGGGTGGCGGGCGGACACACACGACACCCAGCCCATCAATATGCCACACGCCACGACACCAGGCACCATAGCTTATGCTACACCCCAGCACCATCCCCCACTCGCGGTCCAACGGGCCGAAGGCGGCAACATCATCCATATTGGAGACCCACTGCCCCCACCCCGCACGATAGGTCAGGGGGAGATGGCCACAGACTAGGCCCCACACGGGCGGGCACAATACACACATACCTGCGTCCGGGGGGCGACCCACGGACAGGCCCAGATGGGGAGGCCGCGGAGCACCTCCTTCCCAACGGGACAGGTGGAGGCACACGGGCTGCGCGGACCTGGCCCTCGGGCCCGGACGTGCGGGAGCCCCCTTGGGCACACATCAACCACAACACCATCCCAAGCTTACGGAGAGCCGCCCCCCGCACAGGTGGGGCCTAGACAACAGAACCCCCTCGGCCCAGACCGCACCACGTCACACAGAGACCTCGCACACACAAATGGGACCCCCG